CACATACTTTTTAGATTATGTATAATGGGCCTCCACACTGTGGCCAGACTTTTATCTGTGATCTCCTTATGCTGAAAGTGAGAGGTAATTCAAAAAAACCAAACTCACTGCCATTGTGCTCATTCCTTTTCATAGGGACCCTGCAGGACCCGGAAGAACGGTTCCTATGGGTTTCCAAGACTAACACTTTACCAGAGCACAAAACCTCCTCTTTCTCTTGTAGAGTGGCTGGTGGTTTCAAACTGCTGACCTTGTAGTTAGCAAACCATTGTGGAACCACTGCCATCAGGGCTCCTTCAAACATACTTGTATGCCTCAGAGAAAGAAAACAGAATTTAATATCAGAGTTAGTTGTGGGTTAGATGATTGTTAGCCACAAACAACATGTTCAGTTGCTTAGTTTGGCTACATAGGAAATGGGAATTAAGCAATTCCACAAGATGCTATTCTATAAAAACTCCAAGAAACTATTTTTGCCCCACAATGAGCTGCTTTTCGTTTTGTCAAGCTCTTGGAGTTTTAGTCATATGTATATAATTTGACGATGTGTATCTGCTGTCAGGCAGATACAGAGAATGGCATAAAGCAGGGTGTCTTTGGGGTGATCCTTCTTGAGATTAGCCAGAGGATGCCAGCCAGATCCCTGATCAAATTGCTTAGTACAGAATTATCATTTGGAAAATCCTTAGTGTTGCTTGGTGTTGACTAAATTAATCTCCTACACCTGTTTAAAAAGAAAGGAAAAAGCAAAACAGCTCTGTACTGTGCTGCTTCCTTTTTTAATTCCAAGACAAGCTCTGTTGTTTATTCCCACTGGGGAGTTTGAGGATTGTGTTTGTGCTGAAACCCTGTACTAATGTATGCTTTGCATACTTGGCCTTATGAGACCCAGAACTCGACTCATTCTGCAATCATTGAACGTGAGTGGAGCGCTTGATAGCCAATTTTCAGGAAACTCAAATTGATCCCAAATACAAGTATGACAACAAAGGGAGATGACTGACAAGGTTCTGGTGGTGGTGGCCCTGAATGGTGGGATAGGAAATGTCTGATTATGACTTGGAGGGATACTTTGGTCATGTTTCTGATAGGAGCCATTGGCCATTATCTCATCACAGTTATGTTGACATCTTTGTAAATAGGATAAGCTAAATTTTACCAATCATGTCCTCTATACAAATTAGTAAGGATCCCTACTAATTTGGCACAGTGGATTAAATAAGTGTTACAAAGCGAACCACAAGGTCAGGGGTTCAAACCCACCACCTCTGGGAAGAAAGATGAGGTTCTTTTCCCCCATAAGATGTGCAGTCTCGGGAACCTAAGGATTAGTTCTGCTCTGTCCTGGTGGTGTAGTGGTTATGTGTTGGGCTGCAGTTCGCTTGGTTGGCAGTTTGAAACCACCAGCAGCTCTTCAGGAGAAAGACTACTCCTGTCCACTGCTGTAGCTCAGAAGTCCACAGGGAGTGAGTCAGCATTGTCTCACAACAAGGAGTTTGGGTTGGGTTTTATCCTCTAAAGGTAGCTTTATGGCACTTGGAACCACATGTGACTGTTGAACTTGAAATATGGCTAATGTGACTGAGCAACTGAAATTTTCATTTTACTTAATTTTAATTCTGATATAAATTTGAAAACTGATTCTGTAATTGAGAAACTTCACTACTTGAAATAACTAGGTTATCTGAATATATGTTTCCAACAGATTTTATAAACTACATGCAGATCAAATATTTCTTATGAACATTCAGTGCCCAAACAGATGCACTTTGAGTGCAAAATACATATCCTATCCTTATGACTCGATATGAGAAAAAGATAAACT